CTAGAATAGAACAATAGTTAAAAAGCATAAAAGTTAATAAAACGATGTTCACGCTGCTACCCACGTGAACCAGCACGTGATACAAGTTCGACCTTCGTACCGTAACAGTAGTGCTAGCTAAATAACAGCAAGGGGGGCTCTTGCAGAAAATGTTGCGAAAAACACTAGCAAAAGTAGAAATTTGCCAATTTTCGGCATTAACATTTCGGCCTCAGCCCCCCTGAGCCCCCCTGAGCCCCCCTAGCACTACACCCCTGGCTATTTCGTCTTGACGGGTGTGATACTAAAATCTGCGTGGCAACCAATTCTGCGTGGGCCCACTCCAAATCTTTTTTGCGTCTAGATCATCTAATTTGCATAACAGCTCTGCATGCAGCCCATGCGAAAGCTATTTTGGCGCCTGTACCTTGCATAATGTCAAAAAATCTTACAACAGAGGCTCTCTTCAAAAAAGCCCTCACCCTGGATTAAAATTTTTTTTTCAATCTCCCAAAGGTTCTTAATCGAGAAAGAAAAGAAAGATACACCATTTTAGTCCAAGACCGGCCTTTGAACACTTCGAATAGCGACAGAACAACAGCGACGTCTTTCAAGTGACACACGCTTCGACTTTCTATCATCGGGAAACGGCGGACACGATCCTCTTGGCAAGGCAGGAACGCCAACAGTGAAAAGCCTCCTACTCTTGTAGTGACTATTCTTAGGTCTGTTTACGTTAATTTTTTCCTTCTCATTCATTCCACCATTTTCCCACATTCTCACATTGCAGCACAGGCATTCGCCAATCCCTATTGTTTACTTAATCTTCGCCAAGCTATTCAATTTACTCATCACCTCAACTCGCCCTTCTTATCCTTTATTTTCTTTACATCATTTGTGTTAATTTTAGATATTTATTTCTGTATATAAGCATGTTAATTTTTATGTAAATCAGTTCATAGTTCAGAGTTCAGTTACAATCAAGCAACACACTGTCTCTCTCTCTGGTTCCCTGTTCTCTGCACGTAAAACAAGACTCGCTAGGTTTGGAAATGACACGATAGTCGATGGATGGTTTTATTAGTGGACGAATCGCACACAACAATGCCCAATTCTCGTATCACTAAAATGGTGACCACGACGTGACCGACATGGCTAAAAACAACATCATTCTCTATTTTATTTTATATAGTGAGTCTGGTACCCAGGGTAGGCCTCGGCAGGCACCTTGGATAACACAGCCAATCAAAAACTTCATCAGGAAAAAGAATAAGTCTTTCATCAGAAACGGGCAGTCAGAGGATAGGCTGGAGGCCATTACTAATATGATAGCACATGGATCAAAACTAATTGAGGACGCTAAGGAAAATACCTCACAAAAATAGGGAGAACACTCTCAGACCCTGAAACAGGTAAACAACTCTATTGGTCCTTGATCAATAAAATCTTGAATAAAGCTAAAATACCAATAATCCCTCCCCTTTTAGAAAACGATATATTTGTGTTGGATTTTACTGCAAAGGCAGAAATTTTTAATGATTTCTTCATACAACAGTGCACCACAATCGATACTGGTAGCGAACTTCCTCCGCCATCAGTACCCAATACTTCACTGCTCAATGGCTTTTTTATTTCAGATGAGAAGATCTTGAATATTATCCGATCTTTGAACCCAAACAAGGCTCATGGCTGAGACGATTTCTCAGTACGAATGATAAAAATCTGCGATGATGCACTCCTTCTACCCCTTAGATTAATATTTGAGTCCTGTTTGACCCAAGGTGTGTTCCCCCAAGTTTGGAAACAAGCCAACGTAGTTCCCATCCATAAGAAAAACAGTAAGAGTCTTAAGAACAACTATCGTCCTATTTCTCTCCTTCCAATTTTTGGTAAAATTCTTGAAAAACTTATCTTTGACTCGCTTTATCACCACCTAGATACAAACAGTCTTTTAAACCAAAACCAGTCAGGTTTTCGTCCAGGAGACTCGACTGTTAATCAGTTACTATCAATCGTCAATCCCATTTTTTCAGCATTTGACTGCAATCCAACTCTTGATGTCCGTTCGGTTTATCTAGGTATTTCAAAGGCTTTTGACAGGGTCTGGCACCAGGATCTTATTTATAAACTAAGCCAAATTGGTGTCTCTGGTAAACTACTGATTTTAATACAAAACTTTCTCAATGATAGAAAACAGCGTACAGTTTTGAATGGTAAGACATCTACATGGGGTACGGTCTTAGCTGGTGTTTCTCAGGGTTCTAACCTGGGTCTTCTTCTGTTTCTCATTTAAATTAATGACTTGACAGATGGTTTAAGGTGTTCACGATCCACATACAGAAGACGACACATCGAACTTCACAGTTGTTCACGATCCACATACAGCAGCCCTCGATATAAACCATGATCTGAATCTTATTGAGCTTTGGGAGCACAACTGGCGAATGTCCTTTAACCCTGACCCCAACAAGCAAGCAGTCATAGCTTTAAATTAACTAAACAAGTGGAGAAACTTGAGGCTGTACAATATTCTGCTGCATTAGCAGTAACTGGCGCTTGGAAGGGCACATCTGGGAGTCTCTTGACCTCCGTCGATGGAGTAGACGTCTTGTCCTCTTTTATAAGATTATGAAAAATTTAACTCCGGGTTACACAAGAAATCCTATACCCCAACGCCAGGAGTCGAACCACAGTCTGCGCAGTCAAGCTACAATAGGGCAAATACGTGCGAGAACAGAGAGATTTAAATCAACTTTTACCCAAACTGCTTGTCGGAATGGGAAAACCTTGACCCTGAAATTCGTGAATCCCGCTCAATGAATGTTTTCAAGAAACAACTTCTAGGACTCATTCGTCCACCCTCTAAATCGGTCTACGGAATTCATGATCCAAAACTTTTATCTGTTTTAACGCAGCTACGCGTTTGACTAAGTAAGCTAAATTAACACAAATTTATACATAATTTTAGGGATACTTTTAATCCCCTGTGCCTGATAAATGATGGTATTGAGGATACGGAGCACTTTTTGCTGCTCTGCAGTGCCTATGACATACACAGACGTGATCTTCTCGACAGCGTTAATACAATATTGCGTCCTCATGGCCTATCTAACCACTTTATGGCCATATCTGCAACACTATTGGAACGATGGGCGACCAACTCCAATCACTTTTGTAGCTTATTATTGTAATATTTGTGTACCCAAAACAACAGGTCATAACCTTCGACTCAAAAACCCCGTTGACATTCCAAAAGCCAGAACGACCAACTTAGGGTTGTTATGCATTTCCATGCTCCCTAGGCTTTTAAATTGTAATTGATTGTCGTTGTAAATTTTATGAGTATTTAAAAAAAACAGGCAACCTCCTTTATACGCTTTCTAAAATACAACTAACTTATAAGAAAACAGAACATGATAACAGCCAATTAAACACTAGAACAGAACAATAGTTAAAAAAGCATAAAAGTTAGTAAAATGATGTTAACGCTGATACCCACGTGAACCAGCACGTGATACAAGTTCGACCTTCGTACCGTAACAATGTTTATCATTTAAGATTGAAACATTGTGTCAAAAGTCCTGATCCGGATTTGAAAAAGGTTTACTATTCCATACCATTACTATTTACTAACACAAAGGATACTATTGATACCGAGATCCCACCAAATATGTTCCTTCTCGGTAAACCGGGCCAGCCCGCTTCATGTAAACAGCCCCTAAAACTGCTAGATGGAATGATGATTGGGTTAGGCTGGGTTCTCTGAATTATTTTGCATATTTCGCCTTTGTAATTGCTCCGTATTAAAGTGTGGCCAAAAAAATTGCGCAGTTTTCTAAGACTTCCATGAACCTTTTAACATTTTCTTTGGATTTGAAGTCATTTTAAATAGGCCGTTACAAATGTTATTTTGCTGTAAACTCTTACCTCGTTTAAATACAAAGGGGACCCCTTTACTCTTTGGAAAGACTCGTTTTTTCCAAGACTCTTTGCTCAATACACGAAATCTTTCCCTATACCTTTTCTTCAATTCCGTATCTTTAAACTTTGAAATATTCTACTCTCTTCCGGCTCTCAAATATATAATAACCTGTTTTTAATCAAAACTTCATTCAACAAATTAAACCTTACCGCCCATTCTTCTTAATCTCCCCCTCTTTATCTTCGTTAGGGCTTTGCTATAGGCTACAGAATATTTTTCTGAAATAACTGACTAAAAATAGCTTTAGTTAAATTGTGGAAAAATAAATTATGTAGAAACTAGCTTTGATTAAGGGATTGAGAAGCCATATATTGCAATAAAGGGTATTAGCGTTTTTTGTACTTGTTGTAGATTCAACTTACTTCGAAAAATGATGACAAAATATGGGAGGGGGCATGGCTGCCAGTGGCGGAAATTATAGAGGATATGGGGGCTTAGCCCACCCTTACCAGCATCTTGTCGCAAAAAGTCGAGCTTTCGTTGGATAATTGACTAACGTTGGACGTGCCTAAAGCCTAAAGCCCTGCTTGCGATTTGTATATCTAATTTCAATTCCATAAAAAGATAGTCGAACCTTCCATCAAATTCTTCCAAACAAAAGTTATTTTGGAACGCATTTCCCGCTGAAGAAAATAATGAAACTGGGAAGGAAAAAATTTTAAAAAAAGAAAATATAAGAAACATAAAATGAAATTCAACGTTTAATTTACTGTCATCTTTTATGTTGAAAAAGTTTAGAAGAAGTTACAATTATGTTGTTATCATGAATGAGTTGTCAATAAGTTATTACCAATTGCCTTAGATAAGATATCAATTATGATATCGTAAATAAGTTATGGATTGTTCTGCTAGCCACTAGATTAAATGGCGTGGTCAGCAAAGATTCATTTCCAGAAATCATCATTTTCCATCAAAATGTGCCGTGATAAATTTTCCTTAAGATTAGGTATGATCCAAGATGTTACCTTGTCGGAAAATCGTGGGCCCGTCTGAATTTCATTATTCCCAAGCTGCGAATTACGCCCAGCGATTCGCAACCCTCTCTTTCGTGTGTCATGATATATGACGTCAAACTGCTCGACCCAGGCTTTCGTCGCACTGTCGGAGAAGCTTGATGCAGTTATAGGCGATAAGGTGTCTTGACCTAAGGACCATTCAAAATGCCAAAAAACAAAGGTGAGAAACGTTTTTCCCTCGATGTATACCGATACATGTGCTGGTTTTTCAGTTACCAAGCTCTTTTTGTCAGATTCAATAATGTCGAGCAGGTTCCATTTTGGTTGCTTTAGCTAGGCCACGAGTAGGCCGATTCTGTCCTTCAATTCAAGTCACATGTGATAACCGCTGCATTTTTCACATCGTGAACATTATCATTCAAGACATGAACGAACTTTAAGGATCCTGGATAATAGATTTGGCCCCACTATATACATCAGTTGAAATGTCTTTCTTGTCTTTTAAAAACATTAATTAATATTTGGGGCACCTACCTAAGCTTTACAGAGTAGCGACTTAATGTGCAAAAGTATTTAACAAGTTTGATAAACGAGTAATGGCGACAGGGTTGTGTACGAGGGACGAATCACTCCCAAAAAAGTGTACGAGGTTTAGAGATTTTGGAGAATCTCATGCTGAGGCAGAAGATTTTTTTGGGATTTTTCAGAAGACTTTGGGATTTTTTAAAATCTGACATTTCATTGTTGAAAGCAAGATCTTAAAGATTTATGACTTTTGAATGAAAGTTCTGCGATTTAGAAATTTGGTTATGATAACTATGATATTCAGATGACAGTTTGAAGAAAGAACTTTTTTATGTTGGTGTTGGAAGTTTTGTTGCTGACATCAAGAATCTTTTTAGAACTTCTTAAATTAGAACAGCATAAATACCTCTCAACATGCAAAATTATTTTCAAAATTGGGCAAGACATGGCTAATGAAAGACTGCAAGTTTGCGAATGGATTACTGTTATTCTGGTCTGGTTTATAAAGTTATGAACCAAGACCAAAATACAGAGGTTTGATGGGGAAGAGCCTGTGCTCATATGTCTTTTTTTATTTTATTCCTCTAAAAAGTTACAATTTACAGATTTACGAAATACTCTACTTACAAAATTACTATCCCAACAATGTCTCAGCCAATTTGTAACGCATTCAACTGATTTTCTACATTAACAAGTATTTCATAATGATCTTTTGTGAGTTACTGTCAAAATTAAAAAATCTAAAAACGGATTGTCTGACCTCATCATTTTGGTGATGTCACATCAAGTTTCAGAGTCAGATCGAGGCTAGCTATTTCTGGGCAGGTAGGCAGATGCAGAGGTGCTTGATGTGAATGCTTTTCTCATGATAAGGGAAATTGCTTTGTAAACTGCAAAGTTTTTTGTAGAGGATCCATTTCAAATAAGCTTCAAATATTCAAATTTGGCAAAATCTTTCAGCCACTGCAAAAATGTTTTGAAAAGTTTTATTTTCAAGATTCCAAGATTTTTGAGTGATTTTAAGATTTTGGTGAGATTTCTTCGATTTCATGATTTATTTTGAAGATTTTGAGATTTCAGCAATTTTTTAAGAGATTTTAGAGATTTTTTTTGGTAATTTGTGACAGCTGTATGAGATTTTTAAGAATGATTCACTCCTTTGTTGTGTACAACATGACCTATTGTAGTCAAACAACTTTTGTGAAATCATTGGGGTTCATTTTATACTTAAAAACAAATTAAACAAAACTTCAAATCAATGGCAGCACTTTAAATTTAAAATTTGAGAAAATTTATTTTTCAAAAAATGAAAAATGTTGACATTTAATTCATAAGAATAGCTAAATATTCATCATAAACTTTTGAGGCTTTTTTTATATTTGGTGACATTAAGTTAAATTTCACCAATAACCAAAATGCAAAAGATGTGGAAACCCTGGAGTGCAATTCATGGCGATTCATCCTAATTTATTGCATCTCTGTTTCAATATATTGTAAGTCGTCACAAATCTTCCTACTCATAATTCCTGTTTGCCAGCTTCTAATGAAATCTTTGTATCTGCGCTTGCAGTAAATCAATGTGCTATTACAACATAATTTGCTGACTTTTATCTTCTACTCAATCTTCTAAAACTTGTACTGCAGCAGAGAAATTTTTATGTACTAATTCAAGAACTGAATCTTGCAAAGAGCAATTATTAATTGTTGGAAACTCTTGGATGACACCTATAAAATTGGTGATTGATGTTTTGATGTTATGATTCATCTTGATATTTTTACTTGATTTGAAAATAAAGATGTTATTGGGCCTTTATTTACGAAAGCAATCACTCATAATCCAGTCAGCATGCATGCATTTCATCAATCACACAAAATTGTAAATTGTGAGGAATAAATGTTTCACAAACTATCACATTTCCAGTCATCTTTTATTACCCAAGCAAGTGAAATCAGACTACACACAGACAGTTAACAAAACAATGGAAACATAAGTAAACTGAATTAAACTCATCTCAATGCAAAAGCTGCATTTGAAAATCAATTCCCCTGTGAATGTTTATGAATATTTAGGCACTTTGTATTTGAACTACATTTATATGGAGAGCCCTTTGAATAGTAAAAGCGTTTTTAAAATAGGTTTGGAGCAACATTTTGCAATTATACCAGGCCTCTCCAGGAAAAAAACAATGCGGGCCATAAAAAGCCTGTTGCCAGTTTGGCTGCATGGGCCATTTAGCCTAGCAAAATTGTTGTTAATTTTTTTACATTTGAGTATATATTCACAAAAGGCAACAATACATTACCTTGCCAATTTTTAAAACACTTTACTCTTTAAAAGGCATTTTTGTATGTGTTACTACCTTTAAATTTTGTATAACCACTCCTTAAAATGAGACCAAAGAGGAACACAACTTTTTTTGGAATATAGCAAAGTGTTGTTAGGTTTTGCCAGTCAAATGTGGCTTTTGCTTGTGACTTGTGGAAATGTCTAGTTTATATGTCATGACTTGAAAAGAAATTGTATATAGCCCACATCCCCGGAAAGGCCTTAATTATACGTGGATAATATCTATATGACCTTTGTTGTTAACATAAAATTTGTAAATGAGGCACATTGTTTTGGTGATAATGATGACGATGATGATGCTGACGATGATGATTATGATTATGATTGGATATTTAATCTTTCTTGGGGTGCAATAAATAAATATCATTATATGAGTTCATTTTCTTTTGATATTACCTTATACAAAAGCACCCTATAACAGGATCATACAGTTTTTGTAAACATAACAGACGTTTTTAGCATTGTTGATTGTTATTATCACTTTCAGAGGGATCACTTGCGCAAGATAAATCATTCGAGCGCTGGGCCACTTATGAAAAGGGCTGCCAATCATATCAAAACAGGATCATGCAATCACTTTTCATCCTATTTATTGGAACTCCAGTTTCTGATATTTGATTACATTGATAACAATTCATAGGAATTTGTCCCATTTAATCGCAAGAAAAAATTTTTTTCATCATTGGGATCAATTGAGATGCATTAGGGCAAACTAGAATGAATTATGAAATGCTGTTTTCCTATGATTTGAATGGTTTTTCATATGGCAGAAATGATCCTATGTTAATTTACAATGAAACGAGACATATAAAGAACAGTTGTTCAACACAACATGAAAGATTTGGGAAACCATTGGCAAGATCACGTTTAGGTGTTGAAGTACCAATTGATCTTTATTGGTCTGGTGTTTGTTTGAAGGTTATACTTCTTCATCTGTTTTTATGAAAATCATTTCGAAAACTTTGATTTTGTTTCTTACAGGAGAGGATGATATGTTATTTCCAGCAATTTCCTGCTTTATTTGTTCCTGAAACAACATCAGTGATGAATTTGAAAAGATCAACCTCATGATTTGTGAAACATTTAACATTAACATGCGGCATTTAACATATTCTCCAATAGATAAATATATTCAGTATATCTTTTAGTTAACCACCTAAGAATTTATTTATGCTTTAAAGACAGCAGTACATGTTGCATTGATATGTTTTATAGCATACAACTCTAAGCAGCTGCTCTCACCTTTGAGTACATAAACCATGGTTTTTATTCACTAGAAATTGCTTTCATTGGTTACTGAAATATATTAATTTTTTTTCTAGGAAAAGGAGGAAAAAATAGAAGGAGAGGTAAAAATGAAAATGAGACTGAAAAACGTGAACTGGTGTTTAAAGAGGATGGTCAAGGTAGCTTAGACATAGAAATCTCTATTATTTTTATTGGTCTAGAATCGTATTGTGGTTGCTTTTAAACAAATTATAATTGATCTATTCTCAAGGGTGAGATATTCTTGCTCTATGAACAAGCAAAATGTTCATTTCTAGAAAATTATAATGATAATGATGAGTATAGCTATATTTGTACAGGTAAGTTTGTTCAGAAAAATGAATTGGCCTCTGTTAACCAAGGTTATGGCATCATATATATTGGTGCCTAACTACCTTTGAAGGCGTCCCTACTATTGTGCACATTCTATTACTGAGTTGGTTTACTGATGGTAGCTTCACACACTATTTCTTTTGCAATTTATAGCATTTAAATATTATTTCTGGTTGTTTTAAGTCTCTTTTCCTTGCTGGTGTCATGTCTACATGTAAAATGTAGTTGCTGAAAATTCCTTCAAGTGGCAGTTTATTACTCTTAGCAAACCGAATAGTCAAACTATTGTCCAGTACAAGATATCACTTGACACCTTCAGGCAGTAGAAACTATATAAAAACTTTATATCTGGTTAACTGTTTTTAGAGTTCCCTTCGTGTGTTCTGTGTAAATTCATGTATGTTTTTATCAAGCCTGGCCGTTTGCATTTCTGTAGGTGAGCTGTGAATCACTCCCCTTATCTGCTGAGGCGAGCTAAATTAGCAACACATAGAATGTACTTTCAAGGCAATCGACAGATGACTTAAGCCCTTTAGTATCTCTCGATTGCCTTTAAATAGTTTTGAAATCAAGGAATATGCTGTTTTACTTCTTTCAATTTATATATGCTTTAGCTGTGGCTGAGGCACCCCCTTTGCTTAAAGGTTTTAAAAGAACGGACTCGTTTAGTTTCGTGTAAAGCTTGCACAACACAAAATACCAATTCTCTTATCAAACAATCTTTTTGTTGTACAGAATTTGAAAATGGCTTGAAAAACACGTTTTGAATCAAACTGAAGCTTTTCGTCTGACGCTTTCAGAGTTCAAAACGTCAGAACATAGATCGAAAACTCTACGCTAGAAAACATACATACCCAGTTGTGGTTCGAAATAGGCCAATCAGAAACGCGAGCACATTACTGTTGAGGTTGTCTAATCAGTGCCGCTTGCCCATTGAAAATTTTACCAATGGAGTCCAAAGGTGAAAACGAACTCCTTCTGTCTAGACAAAACCTGTTTTTTTTCAAGTTTAAGTAGATGGTTTCAAAACTACTAGAAGTAACGACGATCGGGTTCTACCAGTAATTTGAAACATGTCGCCATTATAGTTTTTCATGCAATAGTTTTCCAGTAAATGCTGCTTGATAGTGGAATTACATGTTTTAGTTGTCGTTTTTGATCTGCAAGAGCGAGTAGGCTGTTCTCGTTGAGGGAGAGTTTCGTTTCTAATGCTGGAAGGAACCTGCTTTTTATCATTCCCTCCAATCGACAATTATATGCCAGTTTTCATGACGTTTCTTGCAAAAATATGCCTGTTTTCAAAGATTACAAACGTTTTAATTATTTTAATAAATTTTTCAAAGTTTTCAAAGAAGAAAACATTAACTACAATCAAACGAAACAAAATATAAAACAATTATTTAAGTTGAACTATAGAAGCTTATATACAATATATCTAAACTATGTATAAACATATCTTAAGCTACAATTAATAAAGACTATTCAAAAACTTCGTAAAGAAAAACATTTCTGGCCACTTGTCGATCTTTTTTCGGCAACCTCAAGTCGGTCCCTGTGTTGAGGAGGTTATACGATGAGGAAAGCGAATTTCGGAGGAAAAGGTCACTCATGTATTTTGAAGCCAACCCATTCAGGGACTTGAATACCATCGTATTTGCCACTGATTAATTTCGGTTGAACCAGCGTAGCCCCAAACTAAGCAGCAGTGTCGAAAGTGGGGCTCAACGATACCTGGATAGAGAGAGAGATGCAGATAGGACTCAGTTCTCATGTTCTGTCTAGCTTCATGTTTGTAGAAAAAAATTTTGCATTCTACCATAGATATTTTAATGTTCATTATCACCATCGTCATTTTAGAATACGCCCAGGTTCTCAAAATGCTAGGCAATGGCAGACTAGAGGCATTTTGTTTTGATGGTACAAAGCGCTTATGTCACATAAGAGGGAAACTCCGCAAAAAGGTACCATATTTGTATCATCCTCGTTTTTTACATAGTAAGATTGTTTTATACTTAGTTCAAACTTTGCAGAGTTGGATAATTGAATTGATGCTTTTGTCAAACATGTTCGATTAATCGATCTTTTATGGTATATTCATTCAAAAGAATGCATTATCAAATTATGATCTTAAATGTCTTGTTTTGACAGGTTTGGATAAATACTGGTGATATTATCTTGCTGGGTCTAAGAGATTACCAGGTACTTCAGAATTAAATTGTTCAGACTTTGATAATCGTGCTTGTCATTTATTTGAAACTGCGAAAGTCAAAATGTTGCTGTTTTCATTTTTATGCCTTTTCTGGTCTCAGTAATTTTTAAGAAGTTTTTAACTCAATGGTAGGACGCCAAAGCTGATGTTATTCTTAAATATACTGCTGATGAAGCGAGAAATCTGAAGACGTATGGTGAACTCCCGGACAATGGTAAGGAATGTTATTATATTCTTCGTTTCATTGAAAGAAGTTAGTACATTATTTATTCGCACCTAAATTAGTGAGTAATACAATGACTTCTCCGCGAATTCTCAACTATTTTTCAAATCCTTATTTCAGTAAAAGTCAATGATGGCGCTGGAGCTGATGATGCAACGGAAGGCATCGAGTTTGAGTATGGAGATGAATCTGATGAGGATGGAGACAATATTGATATCGTGAGTTATTGTAATGAAATACATTAACAACAAAAATTTTCGTCAAATAAATTTTCGGCGGATAAACTTCGTCGAAAAAAATTTCGGACTGCTTTTAAGAATTTCGTCGTGACAACATTTCGTCATGGATTTTTAACACAAAGATAGCAACATATCACCAAAATCTTCAGAGGAAAAGCCATACAGGTTACTTTATACCCAATCTTATAGGTACCGACTTCGTGGAGACTTAGGGGCTTGAGCACCCGCTCGGAATTAGGCTCAACCTCCCAGGCATCAAGTCAGAATTTGGCTCAATCCCCCAGACATCAAAACCAAATTAAAGCGGTTATTTACTCAGTCTATGCAAAGGCGGGGTCAACAGAGATGTTTTTAGCATTCAAAGAGTTTCTACTCTATATCTAAATGGTATGACAGTTTATAGAAAGATAATAATTAAAGGTAAAAGTGTCAATTTAAGTATAAGATTCTGAAAGCATAAACCATCCCCAACAGGAAATGTTGGTCTGGAAAGTTTGCTTCCTGTTGAGTTCAAAATGTTGGGTTGAAAAATGCAAATACCTTGAAAAAAGGAAAGAAATAGTACAGTTGAGTAAAAAAAGACAGAGGTGGAATCTTTTGAAACCGGCGACAAAAGATAGTTTGAACAGGTAGCCAGTGTGGTAAGATTGGGGGAGGGGGGAGTTGAGCAAAAGCGCGTTGATTAAGGGAAAACTGGAGCCCAAACCCTTTAGAATGCCAGAAAACGCCCTTTTTCCGATTTCTTTTTTGCCATTGGGGGCATCCACCTCTCTTGCCTCCCTCACGCTACACAACCAAGAACTGTTACGACACAGAGTTCCCTTACGGACAGTATCACATTACAATTGCATTATTGTGCTGTGATTGCATCAGCGTCTATAATTATGTTTTTTTGCATTGCGTTATTATTATTCCAAGGTTCTGCTAAGAGTATATAAAGGGTTTTTTCATAAGTTAGGTTTAGTCTTATTGAAACTTTTGACGTACTGCTAGAAGCTCTGTCGCTAGTTTGTCATGCCTGTTGAAACTATGCCGTCATTTGTCGAACTTGTTGTTTTCAGTCGTTAGTCGAATCATTGCCGTAAAATGAAGAATTTTGATTTTACCCGCTGTTGCCATATTTTTTAGCATTTATGGCTACAACGAACTTACGTTCGTAAAACCCCCTTATAAAGATAATTATGGTAAAGAAACCGACGGTAAAGATAATTATGGAGACGTTGTAAATGTGGAAAAGGACGTCGTTGACATTGAAAAGATTTTATTTTTAACATCATTACTTTCATTCTTAACCTCATGTAAAAGTTTTCCTATGCGAATTTTCAAAAATCTTAAATACAAAAAATTTCGTCGTGACCAAATTTCGTCTCATTCTGAATTTCGTCGAAGAAAATTTGTAGTGAGTATTGATGTAGTGAGGCATTTTTATATTTTCAGACTCTGCATAACCTATAAAACTGTGAAGACGTTATCTAAAACGCTATCTATAAACGTAAACGTTTCAAACGTTATCTAAAACGGGATTTCGTTCTCTTTTGATTGGGAATTTTTTTCATGATGGCAAAAGAAATTTGATATGGTTATTCATTTTCTCAAGGTGATTTGTTGTCTGATGCCTTCAGCTAAATCTTTCTTTCCTGATATAGACTAGCCCTGATCTTTGTTAACTTTTTAGGAGGGAGTCAATACTGAAAGTGTAAAGAATTGTATTGACATAGGACAAAATTGGCATATTTGTTACTGGAGTTGTTGTTTATATTGCGCTGAATAGATGCCCAAAAATGTTTGGAAAGGAAACTCCTTTGTTCCTTAATTAGTCTAGCGCTGCAGAAATCAGAATTAACAATATTCTTTGTATTGTAAATTGCCGTAAATTTTGTTCATTATATCCCTTAAACGATATGTTTGTCATAAATTAACCTCTTTCTTTCAGATTTGAAGTAGACGTATCATACATAAATTATAATGGTGCAAGCACATCCAAGGGAGATATTTCGCAACAAGTTTCCCGTTCATGCAGCCTTTTGGACAATACAATTCTCTCTTATTAATATTTCCAGTCTTGTAGATACACCCAGTGTCCTAATGTAGGTACAGGGTGTAAGTTTGTGGGAACGCTATCAATTTGCATTTCCTGTTTATTTAGCTTATCATCATGATCGTTGCTAGGAAAATCTATTAATGCAACGTTATGCGATCTGTTATTTGATCTTGATACAATGTCATACCAAACAGATCCTTAAAGTTACAAGGCTTGTATGTGTATTGTGTTATAAGCTACAACACAATTGTGAATACGTCTGAGATGTCTATAAAACGATCAAAATTTGCTCATATTGTTGTATCATATTCTTTTTGTAAATTCTTTATGAGGGTTTTTTTATCCAATTCGTGCGATGGATTTATCTTCTCCGGTTGTTGCGGTGCTGATTCAAGTTGGAAGTGGTGGGGGGGGGGGGTGGAATTTTTTTTGCCAAAATTTTTTAGCAGAGCAAGCTGCTTTTTATCACGTGACCCCTATGGGGCATGTCCATTCAACTTGAGATAGAGGCTAGACATTTTTATCTTTTCTTTCAGGGGCAAATTTTCTTATAATTCATTGGGGGCTTGGACAGAATTCTTGTCTATACCAAGGCTAATTTTCCTAGAATTAATTGGGGGTTTCGACAGAATTCTTGTCTTTACCAAGGCTAATTTTACTATCATTTATTGGCGGATTTAAGAGAATTCTTGATTCACTTAATGTACGCCTCTCAGCTTTGTTTTGACCACCTGTGTAGGCCCACAGGCTTCCTGTTCCAGCTCTACCCTCGCTGGGATATAATTAATCAAAATTGACAGTTCAGTTGTTCTCCAGAAACTATGAACAACTAAAGGTTTTAGAATTGGTGTCTGAAATGCTCAATCTAAAAGCCTGTGGGACAGAACTGAGAGTATCATCACTTGCAGTGTTCAATTTGCGAATCGCCGTCGTTCAATTCGGTTTGAGGCGAGACTAACGAAATCCACAGTGACGTCTGTTATGAACTATTCGTTGGGTTGAACTACAACTTGTTAACTTTTCTGCAGTTTTGTTAGGTCAACGGTTTTGTTAGGTCAGCGGTTTTGTTAGGTCAGCGGTTTTGTTAGGTCAGCGGCTTTGTGTTGCTACATTTGTGTTGTTAGGTATGGTGGCCCAGCATACTCATTCAAAAAACAGAAACATATTTTATGAAATATAAAAAAATGACAGATATTTGTGGTAAATTTGACATTGAATTCAAATTATTTTCTTGAAGTTTAAAATAACATGTCAAAAAGCAGAATAAACATAATAAAAAAATTAAAGAAACATTTCCATTTCCAAGTTTCAAATATAATTTTTTCTTTTTGTTTCTGAAAATCACATTGAAAGTCGTCAAAAGAAACATTTTCGTTTTCATTTTCAAAATGAAATGTCACGATCGGCCCAGCGTTCTCATAGACCACAATGCTTTGCAAGAATAAGCGCCTCATTTCCATGCAACTTTTCGCGCCCATTTTGCTTCGCCTTGCCACTTAACAGCGAAGAACGCATACCTCGTGGTAGCCTATTTAATTTGAATTAATCACGAAGAGGCATGATACTTGGGAAAAACTTTATAAGGTAATGAGTAACAAAAGAACAAAACAAAACGAGGCATCAAATAAAAGGCAAGCAAACCTATCGTCCGATTCAGCCACGCGAATTTGTATCATTTGAGTTTGATGAAATAACTCTACCTAACTCGAAGAGTGCTTGTGCTGCTCATTTTGGCCTCCCTGTCAGTACGTGTGACGTTCTTGTCTCAAACAAAGGTCCCTTGTGCACAAATATTCAACAGATACCACATCGGAAAGATAAGGACTTTTTTCTTCTTTTTTTAAATCAATTAGTTTGAGGTTTGCGGTTCAAGCTTGTTCACTTTACTTGGATTGGGTTCACTGTCGGGGCTTTATAAATTAAGTAAGGGTGTTAGAGTTGCAACAAAAATTCAGGTTTTAATTTAGGGGGCTTCAGCTCTCCAAGCCCTCCATAATTTCTTCTAGGATGCATTCTATCTAAAGTCTACGCCAGACATTGCACCAGAAGACCTCTGCGCCTAGATGCAGGAAGTGCACTCGGGGTGGGGTAAGGTTCGGTTAGGTGCAGGCTGTGGGGTTGGATTAGGGCAAGGGTTAAGCTTGGGTAGTAAGGGTACTGGGTACCTATTCAAATCCAATAATAGCGGATCTAATTGCCTTCCCTCCCAAACTACTTAATTCCCAAACTCTACCCTAATTAGCCAAAAATGAAGAAACTTTGAGTAGTGAAAAATATCCTAATTTCTTATAAAAAAGAGTGTACACTCATATTTTTTATTTTTAACTGAAAAGTTCTTTAGAGCTTTGTAAAAAATGAGGACATGGTCCTCTATTTCGCCAGCCCTATGAATTCAATAACAAGTTAACCTCGCATCAATGACGTGAATGTTCCAACTTTACCCCTTCTTTTTTTCCCCAATCGTTCTCCGTTGAACTAGTCCTTAATTGTCATCAAGGGTCATTACATCGTAAACGAGTCCTCTGGGATCATGAAGGCCATACTGCTCTCTGATTCACTTGTGCATAGCACGGTAGCCTAATAACTGACCTGGACCATCTTTTTCTGCATTAAATGCCTCACCCACTTGATCTACAGTTGTATCGTAGTCAACGAATTTTATTCCAAAATGTTTCATGCGCCTACTTGATGTACCAGAGCTCCAAGCGTGCTGAGAAAGATCCCTTTGCAGAAAGTCAAGAATTTCAGCTCTTCGCAAGTTTCTGGCAACCATACAGCGAAAATAAATTTTTGGAGTTCATTATCCTCTGTCCATTCGTTATTTCTTTTATATTCTGCAGCCATATGGAGCAAAATCTCCCTTTCTTGGCTACATAAGCCAAAGGTAATTTATTTAGAAAATCAAAAAGGGCGCGAAAAGCTGCATGGAAATGAGGCGCTTATTCTTGCAAAGCATTGTGGTCTATGAGAACGCTGGGCCGATCGTGACATTTCATTTTGAAAATGAAAACGAAAATGTTTCTTTTGACGACTTTCAATGTGATTTTCAGAAACAAAAAGAAAAAATTATATTTGAAACTTGAAAATGGAAATGTTTCTTTGATTTTTTTATTATGTTTATTCTGCTTTTTGACATGTTATTTTAAACTTCAAGAAAATAATTTAAATTTAATGTCAAATTTATCACAAATATCTGTGATTTTTTCTGTTTTTTGAATGAGAATGCTGGGCCACCATAGTTAGGCCGCTAAGCACGTGCGGTAGCCTCCGTTCTTATTGCTTAGTAAAGCTTATTTTCTACGGCAATCCAACTCCTTTATATTAGCCAATAAAATGCAAATGCGATATTTGGCTGGAGAGACTCTTTAACTATTCTCCGGGTTAGATTCAGCCTCCTAAGCGAGCACAAGTTTCTTCACAATTTTGAATCTTTGAGTCCCATCTGCACGTGCAATACAGGCATTGAGGACAATCAGCATTTTCTCCTGCATTGTCCCATGTATAACCAGAGTCCAGAAAAGTTGTTTACCTTCCTCCAGACAAAAACATCCCAGAAGGCAGACCTTCCTCACAAAACAATATAAATGGGGCGTGGCTTGGGTGTGTCATAGGAACTTCATTGTTCTTCGCGGACCTTCCTCCGGTCAGTGGTCGTGCGACCGTAATGTTTTCCTGACTCTGACCAGATGCGTACTCTAAGGTCCTTAATAAAAGGGGGGACGCTTATTAATTTTTCGATTTTTTTCTGACCCCACCGGAGCTTATTTGGACCCCCGCTTATTAATTTTTATATGCAATCATTCATATCCCTTATTTCATTTGTCCTTTTTTCTTCTGGTGTGAAATTTCTGTAAAGTTTCTCTTAAATGAAGAGGTTGCATTGAACAAACGTTTTAACATAAAAAAGTAATATAAAATCCGAAAAAAATTACATAGGCCTGACTGATGTACAAAATGATAATTGGCCTGCTCATTTTAGTAATACAACAATGCATTACTACATGGTGATGATTGTCATTTTGCTATCGATTGTATTCAGAAGAAAATCTCCTTTGACCCCAAAAAAGAATCATCACGTGATTTTTCAGATTTTTCACATTTACTTACTAAGACACCCCCCTTCTATTAAGGACCTTAGAGTAACGATCTCTTTGATCAGCTTTCAGAAATCCCAGTACTTGAGCTTGATAATCTTAACTCTTGAGGCCCTATGTGAACTACTCCTTTTTGGTAATCCACAACAATATTGCAAACAAATTGATTTTGGAGGCAACAATATCATTCATTTTGTCAACTGATGACGAGAGCTTGTTTTAAGCCCTCAAACAGGGAGGGACCAGCACCTGAAGATCAATGAAATTTGATAATCGCATGGAAGAGTGCTATAAATTATCAAAAAAGCCTTTCAAACACGCCTCGCCAACTATTTGCTCATTTTTCTCGACTGGCCTAGCCAACCCGGAGAAAGCAGATCACAGCTTTTTTGCTCATGGATCAAGCGAAAAGTCCATTTCAGATAATTGTAAAATGGCGTTTACGAGAGAATTCGTTGCAATTAGCAGCAGATAATAGATATTTTCTCTTTGATGTGGAAGCTTCAGAAAGAAATTGAACTGAAAAACATAAACGTTATTAATCCAAGGACGCACAGTGTTCACAGACAGGTCAAAGGATTGCCTTTAACTGTATTTTAGATCTAATTTCCTTTCTATTCTAACATGTAACTTAAATCATTAATTTTCACCTGCATTAATTCGTAGATGCCACTGACCAATCCATTACCATAATACCCTCTCAATGTCCCCTTTTATTTTCAGTCCCTTTTTGATTCGTTCTTGCTGACAAACAAAATTACAGCTTCTCACTTGACATGTAAATGTTCAATCAATCTAATCATTGATCAGTGGCATCTTCTAGCACTTTTTATCCATTAAACTTTTATTTCATTATTTCTTGCACTCTGAGCATTATACCGATACTCGGTCCTGCTCAGTATCGATGTAGATGTAGATGTAGATGTGGAAATATTTGGCTTTCAAAACGTAGGGAACTGTCACCAACTATAATGGCGACATGTTTCGGATTATTGGTAAAGCCCGATCGTCGTTCCATCTAGCCGTTTTGGAATCTATTTTTCCATAAGCACGAAAAAACTGCTACTGTGTAGACAAAAGGAGTTCGCTTTCACCTTAGGACTCCCTTGGTAACATTCTCAATAGGCAAGCGGCACTGATTGGTCAACCTCAACAGTCATGTGCTCGTGTTTCTGATTGGCCTATTTTGATCCACAACTGGCTATCTTTATTTCCTAGCGTAGAGTTTTCGGTCTATGTTCTGACGTTTTAAACTCTGAAGAGTGTCAGACGAAAAGCTTTAGTTTACTAAATTTTTTTTTCAGAACTCTTCAAGCCCTATACAGAATATATTTATATATAGAATGAGAGAACTTTATTGAGATAAAATGAAAGACTTACGAGAATGGGATAAGATGATTTCATATGTCATAATTTGCACTTTTTAATGATTGGGTTTGTTTGCTATATATGAAAAGAGGCTTCGTCCATTGTTATCCATTTTTGATAAACTTGGTGAATATATGTAAATTTGTCTTGTTTATTATTTGGCATAATTTATAGCAGGAATTTCACTCAAATCCTGCAACACTCAGTAAGATTATGTCCTGCTGTAACCAGCCAGAGGAATTTATTAAGGTCCTCTGTTTGGCAAGAAATCGAAACCATTCTTTTAGAATTCATAATGATAATTCCTGGTTTGGTTTACAGATCTATCATTTCACTTGCCTTGGAATCATGATGAAATAATATATCTTGTTAAAATCAAATCTTTCAATTGTGAATTCTATTTCGTCATCGGTCCCAGCTCCCTACAGAGCTGCACGAGATAGTGTGCCGCAGTGCATGTGAACCAGTTGTGTGCAAATGCTTGTGTTGCCAGCTGTGTGTAATTACAATTTGTGGTTGCTTTAACGAGTTTTTGCAGAGCCTACGTTTCCCGACAAACTTTCTGGAATTTAATCTGCTCAACTGTTTGGTTTATCTTAGCCAGATAAGTATTTCATATCTCTTCATTATCATTTCATTATCTCATAGATGTCTGCTGAAAACAGCGAAATACGGGACTTGGCAGCTAGTCAAGCTTCCATTTCCGAGACCATTTTATCTAGGCCTGTTATGCCAGAACATTCAAGGGGCACTTCTGATCAACCCCTTAATACTGATCTACTTTTTGTTCTACAGAAAATGAACGACACAATCGTCTCATCCAATCAATTACTTTCTAAGTTTGTCAAAAACTATCCTAAACGTCGTTCAGATCACAGGCCCTCGGACTCTGATTTTGACTCTGATTGTGGCGAGTTTGAAGAACCTCCCAGAAAACGAAAATTACTTGCCACGGCCACTGTGTCTGTAGCGCCAAATAGGCAACAAAATATTTCAGATGTGCCTACCGATAGTCCTGCACGCTCACCCGCCCTTTCTACAGCCGGGCATTTGCATGAGACTCGTCCTTCAGCAGACGATGCAGTGAGTCTCTTTGGTGAGCAAGACATTGACGAAGGAGTCAATGACATTGAAACCCTCATCTCTCAAGATGAATTCTTAAATGAGGTAGAGAATGCTGTTGCTACAGCAAAACCAAAAGGTCCACCAATTTCCGAACATCTGGCAAAGATTCTCAATGACAAATTTCATATTGAGCTTGAGGCCTCGCAGCGCAAAACTCTTCTCGAAAAGTATTCAGTGCCAGAAAACTGCACGGGCCTATATCGCCCGCGAGTTAATCACGAAATCTGGAATTGTTTGAGTGCCAATTCTAAAGTAATTGACAAAAACATGAGTTTATTGCAAGATGCACTATTGACAGCCTCGAGTGCTGTTGCCATGTCCATTGAGGACATACTTAAGTATCGCGAGACAAAAAAGGACCTTGATTACCAGAGTATGGTTTCTCGCCAGATTGACATTTTAACCCTTCTTGGTTATGTCTGTAGTGAACTTTCATATCGTCGAAAAGAAAGTTTACGCCCCTCGATCTCTCCTGAATTTAAGGCGGCATGCGGGCGTACCACCAAACCAACTACCTTATTATTTGGTGATGACCTACCTAAAACTATGCAGGAAGTTCGCACTACTAACCGTATTCTTCAAAACTTTCCCTCAAATCGCTATACCCGCCGAGGTGCATACACCCGTTTCCAAGCTGACCGTAACAACAACAATTCTTTTTTATTGCAGCGGGGGAGGAATCAATTTCCTCCCCGCCGAAATCCATATATCTTAAATATCGTTTCGGGTGATATGATCGAATTTGAAAACCCCCCGCCAACTCAGCATAATTATCCGGCTAACACGATCTCGCGAGACTTGCTACCTGCAGTACACAAAGAAATACAAGATCTACTCTCTAAGAAGGTCCTCTCTAATGTAACACATGAGAATTCTGAATTTATTTCCCCTATTTTTTGTGTACCAAAACAGGATAATAAAGTGCGCCTTATCCTGAATTTGAAAAAACTCAACTCATTTGTCTCCTATAAACACTTTAAAATGGAGACTATCCAACATGTCTTGACCATGATTACGCCTAGTTGCTGGATGGCATCTATTGATCTGAAAGATGCATATTATAGTGTGAAGATTCATCCTGGTTACCAGAAATTTTTGAAGTTTACCTTTCAGAATCAGCTATATGCGTATACTGCTTACCCAAATGGGCTTTCCTCCTGCCCCAGGCAGTTCACAAAATTACTAAAACCCCCTATTGCTACATTAAGGTCACAGGGGCACATTGTTTCTAACTATATCGACGATATATATATTCAAAGCAACTCATACGGTAGCTGTGTAAATTCCATTCTGTCTACCTTCCAACAATTCAACAATCTTGGGTTTGTTGTCCACCCGGACAAATCTGAATTCATCCCCAAACAAAAAATACAATATTTGGGTTTTATACTGGATTCTGTATCTATGACAGTCACATTACCAAATGCTCGTAAACACAAGGTCAAGGGGTACCTGGAGTTACTGTGTGTTAAGCCAAATAACGTTCTTATCAGGGACGTCGCTAAAGCTGTGGGTTATATGGTATCGTGCCTCCCCGCTGTTCCGTTTGGAGGCATTCATTACAGACACCTTGAAGATGAAAAAATTAAGGCCCTAAAAATCTTCCAATGGGAATTTTGATACAACTATGTCCATAACCAAACTTGCTCTTGCTGAACTTTACTGGTGGGTTTAAAACCTAGATAGTAGCTTCGGTTATATTAGACTTCCACCTGTTCAAGCTACCATTTTCTCAGATGCTCCCCCCCTGGGTTGGGGAGCGACGTTTAACGGTGTTCCTACAAATGGAACATGGCTCCCCTCTGAAATCATTTACCATATTAACGTTCGGGAGCTTTTAGCTGCATACTTCGCCCTAAAAAGTTTCAAATCTGCAATTAAAAACAAACATGTTAAGCTAATGATCGACAATACCACTGCTGTCGCTGTTATCAATCATATGGGCACTAATCATAGCAAAGAATGTAACTCTGTTGCAGTCAAAATTTGGTCCTTTTGTTATGAAAACAATCTTTGGTTGACAGCATGTCACATTCCAGGCAAATCTAACATTATTGCTGATAAGGAATCAAGAAACTTTCTTAAACAAGATGCAGAATGGATGTTGAACTCAAATGTTTTACAGAATGCATTATCTAGCTTGCAATTTTAACCGGACATTGCTCTTTTTGCCTCAAGGCTTAATAGTCAGTTTGATAAATACTGCTCACTTAGGCCCGACCCCGGTGCTGAGGTAATAAATGCTTTTACCTTCCCTTGGAGCAATCTAAAGTTTTATTCCTTCCCTCCATTTAGCTGCATTCTCCTTGCCCTACAAAAAATTCAACAAGATCAAGCAACCGGAATTCTTGTAACCCCAAACTGGCCTACTCAACCGTGGTTTCCCATTCTCAAAAAGATGCTGTGTGCCCCACCTGTCCATCTAAGACCAAGAAAAAACCTGTTGCGGTTACCAACAATGCCTCAATTACAACATCCGCTTCTCCACAAACTGCAGTTAATGGTTTGTTTAGTATCTGGGAAGCCCTCTCATTGCAGGGTTTCACGACCCCCTCTGTAGATATCATTATGGCTTCGTGGCGAGATTCAACTCAAAAACAATATGCTACTCATATAAAACGCTGGGTTGACTTTTGTACTCGACATGGCTGCAATCCAGTTCAACCAAATGTATATAATGCTGTGCTCTTTCTAACCTCGCTTTTTGAATCCGGCCTCTCGTATAGCTGTATCAACACCGCTCGTAGTGCACTAAGTTCCATATTAAACTCTAGTAATGATGAAATATCTTTTGGAAACCTCCCGATTGTCAGACGTTTTATGCGAGGTGTCTTCCAATTGCGCCCCACATTTCCGAAGTATAACTCTGTTTGAAGTGTCCATACTGTGTTTGATTTCATTCGCTCTTGTCCGTGCGTGGAACAACTGACTCTTAAAGACCTTACTCTTCGATTAACTTTTCTCCTATGCTTGCTGAGTGGTCAAAGACGACAGACAATTCAAGCCTTACGTATTGATGCAATGGAAGTTACCACTTCTAGCTACGTCTTTTACATTGTTCATCTGTTAAAGCATTCTCGTCCAGGCCATCATCAAAAACCACTTCGATTTGAAAAGTACTGCGCTGAACCAAAGCTGTGTGTGTATACCCACCTAGCATAATACCTTAAACGAACAGAAAAGCTACGTTCTGGAGTTCATCAGTTGTTGATAACTCATACAAAACCGCATCGCGCTGCTGCAGCTGACACAATTGCACGTTGGAGTAAAGCATTCCTTGCTCTTGCAGGAATCGACACAACTATGTATAAATGCCATAGTATTCGGGCCGCATCCACGTCACAGGCTGTGCGTTCCAATAGCAATCATTTGGCTGATGTTCTGCAAGCTGCAGGGTGGTCAAACGAACACACTTTTCGCCGTTTCTATAATTTGCCTGCTGAAAATAATTTTAATTTTGGAACAGCATTAATTTCCAGTTAATATGCTTTCTTATGGTTTCTTTTCCAATTAATATGCTTCCAGTATCGATTTACATGCAATGGCGCCTCTTCCCTTTTATACAATCATAGTAGTTAACCCTTTGATGCTTGTTCTAGTTTTCTACGTAAATGTCTCAATGACTGCTCTAAAATCTCGTGCAGCTCTGTAGGGAGCTGGGACCGATGACGAAATAGAATTGTAAAATTAAACGAACCTACCTGTAGGTGAAGTTTGATTGTAATTCTGTGAGTCATCGGTCGCGACCGGAGGAGCTGTACGCCCTCCCAGTATTTCATTGACCCCGCCCAGTTCCTCCTGTCGCTTGTCATTGATCCATTTTACTCTCTCAAGGCTGGTTCACATGCACTGCGGCACACTATCTCGTACAGCTCCTCCGGTCGCGACCGATGACTCACAGAATTACAATCAAACTTCACCTACAGGTAGGTTCGTTTAATTTTACAATTATACAGCAAAAAGTATACCGCTGAACACGCTCCTTTGCTAGTTCCAAATTCTTAGCAATATTGCTATCACGTGATACGCAGAGTTTTCGTGTCTTTTTACGAGTTCATCGCCAGCTTTTGCTAACGCTGCTCCATAAAATGTACACAGAACTTTAGAGTCGACATTGCCTTCCTCGTTCTCCAGCTCTGGCTCAGAAAATTTCTTCAAATTCTCCATTGTTGGCGCTCAAGTTACTTGTTCAACACTTGCTCAACAGGCAAATTGTCAACATGTTCTCTGCAACTTCGTCAGTTTTCCCGTGCCAAGATGTGATAACTTTCATCGAGCTAAAAATCAGGCGTCTCTTTACATACACAGCACATTAATGCCATACCTTGTGTGCAGTGCAAACCCTAAGACTGCATTTTTATATGCAGGGAATCGTTTGATTTCGCCGTTTATTCTCTGC